AATGAATTTAAATTGGGATTATATAATTATTATTTGAATTCTTGAAATTTAATCCAAATTGAGCATCCAAATTCTGAATCCAAACACAAGAATCTGTGAATATACTCAAGCTATAGCCTGTAAATGATGAGTCAAAGTTACACCTGTAGCGTACGCATCATGCTAGATAACCAACTAGTCGAATAGACATTTCAAGAAAGTATGATCAAAGCAGATACCCCCTCGTCTAAGTGGCATTATACTCACTAGTAAATTGGTTGACACTCTTTTCTGTCAGTGTCCCCAGCAATGTGACAGTAATGGTATACCGTGTAGCAGACACAAGATCAGTAAATGTATAAATCAATGGATCCATGTCTTGTGGTAAGGTTTCAGCAAACGCATCCCCAGAGCCATCACTGGGTACTATGGCAACCACATATGCAGTGATTGGCCCACCGGCGGCTATCCATGTGATTACAATAGATGTATCAGTAAAGCTTTCCACAGTAATATCTCCGGGTGTTCCCTCATCTAAAACAGAAAAATAAATGGTAGAAAAAATGTAATTGAGATATAATGACAAATGATAAGAAAGATGATGGTGATGATGACTACAACAATGACGATGACAATAATGATGCAAATGACGGCGACAATAATGATGCAAATGACGGCGACAACAATGTGAATGGTGATGATTATGATGATGATGATGATGATGATGGTGATGGTGACAATGATGGAGATACTGACAACTATGATGACATGCCAACAATGACAACAACAACAACGACGATGCCAACAACAACAATAACAATGATAATAACTTCAATTGATGATGTTAAATCTAGTAAATATTACATTACCAATATTTTAGTTTGACAGATAAAACACAAAGATTTTATACAAAAGATAAAAGAACTTACTGAGAGTAACATATTCAGACTGCTTCTCACTGAGCATTTTATCTGCCCCAGCATCACTTCCAGAAATAGCAGCAACACTAACTATATACTCAGTGTCATTGTCAAGACCAGTCAGTTGTACAGAATTGGTATCACTGTTCAGTGTTATTGGTGATGCTATTCCATCCATCGGTGCATAACACACTTCATAACCACTGATGTCTCCATCAGATTCAAACCACGAGATTGTGACAGATGTTTCAGTTGCTGCTGTAAAGCTGATTTCTCCAGGTGGTCTGGGCACTGCAGCATGAGAAGATACAATGATGACGGGAATAGATTAGGACTATCGTGGTCATAACAAGATGAAATCAACAATAAATTACAAAATAATGAAAGCACAAGTTCAATACAAGGTAGATGACTACCATTAGAACAAATGCCATTTTGTGTTTACGCTTCACTTGAATTTACAAATTTTATGCAGTTGATCAGAAAAAACAAATAAAAATATTTGCTAAACACAGTAAAATATCCATGACAATGATGCCCACTATAAGTAAAAATTTGTGAGGGCAAATATGGTGTAATTTTTTTTTTTAAATAGCGAAAATGAATTCCAAGCTAATATATTTTACAGTAAATTATTTTCACTTTGAAATTGTTTTCGCTGAATTAGTGAAAATAAAATCCAGCAAAAATACATTTTTCCCTATGTTTTACATTCAACTCATCACAAATCAGTGAAAATAAAACTTCATACAAAACAACCAAAATATCTCTCTGCTAAATTAATTCCAGCTAAAATGAAGAGTTTCACAGTCAATATTATTTTAACAAGTAGGAGAAACACACAGGGCAGATTTGTTTTAATCTGAGCATTTTTACAAATCTTCTGATAAACACACAATTTGCTTGTACAGGAAAACTGTGGGATGAAATGAATGCCACTTTCACAGAATATTACAACTAACATTTTGTTTAGTTGTTCATTGCATGAAAATTAGATTTCCCACAGTCAAGAAGAATTCAGTGGTAAAAACTCACCAGTTCTTTGTTCCAATGAATTCAATAAAGATGGTGGCTGACCAGACGTCAGTGTTGATAGCTCTATCCTATATTTATGCCCTGGTATCAACTGATCTAACACAATCATTCTTTCTTCGGTTTTTCCTACTGTCTTACTATTAGATACAGTAGTATTCAGATTAGTCCATGTGATGAAATACTGATCAAAGTCGCTTGTTTCTTCACTCCACATCACTTCTAAAGATGTCTGTGTTATTGCACCAATGTATAAACGCCCAGCAGCAAGAGAACCTATAATAAACAACAATGAGACCCATCAATATATTCTCAAATACTATCACACAAATTTATCTTATGACAAATGTATCATGTTCATTCAATCAAAATATGAATAATGGTCGACTTATCCAAATATATTTTCTCCACAAAAACATGTTTGCAATACCACTGCACTAATATATTTAAGTTGTTATTGCATCTATTGCTCCAATTACCATGGTTACCATGGTAGGAAGGCAGTGGATGCAGTGATAAGGGAATAGAACATCATTTGGGCGAAAAAAACAAACTTGTGGATTTCTCGCTCTCTCCACAAGATCTGGGAGGCAGTTTGTGATTAAAGTATTCTCGGGAACGAGATACGTCACAGAATGTCTATGCTGCTCAGACATGCACCACGTACACGTTTTTCTATGGGTTCTGTGCAAGCTGCTGTGGAACACCGGTCAAAGAGCAAGTGAAAGTCAAGAAAACAGCACAAAGCTCAAATAATACAACACAATCCTGACCAACCAAATTTATATATGTTGCACATGTAGGGGTAGTCTAATGATACTTCAGAGAATCTACAACTAGCCATTTTCACTCCCGAGAATATTGGTATAAAAACGGACATAGAATTTCATGGTTGCTTAAGACCAGGAATATTACCTGTTGTGAATGGTTGCATCTTTTCAGTGCTTTTTGTATTATAACTAACTGTTGTCACTTTCACGCTATAACTAGTACTAGGCTGCAGATCATAAAACCGAACGCTTGGACATGCATCTTTTCCAGCTGTCATGACGACAGACGTGTCATCAGTAGGATCTGTGGTCATTTCCAACAACACTTGATAGTTATCAAATATTCCATTGGTCTGTGGTAACCAGGATACCATAACAGATGTGGTTCCAATATCATCAATTTGAACTGAAGGCACGGGGAGAGAAGCTATGAGGGTGGAAAAACAGAAACATGTTATACATGTGCGAGTGCAAAATATCACAAATTTTGTCGTTGTAAATTTGTCTCAAATTATGAATATGGATTTATTAACCTTGTGTTTTGGTGATGAAGAACTCGCACGAAAAGAGTAATGCTCTATTAAAACGAGTTGTGAATTATAGCGCCATCAGACAGTTTCCGTGAAGGAGGTTTGGATATATCAGCACATACACTAGCCTGACAAGTTGGCG